CCCCCCCCCCCCACTCGCTGCCACTTGAGTTAATAGAGAAACCGTGCATTGTATGTCCTTCATTCTTGGTATTTCATTTTCAAACTTTCTTGCTAATTCTAGAGGCCTATTCTGTAACAAGGAAACTATTCTGAGCAGCTAGTCCTAGACTGTGCAAAACAAACAAAACTACTAAAAGGATCAGGTCTCTCCTTGTTTAAATCACTAACATTATTAGAGGTTATGTCAATAAGCCTGTTCTATAGCAAGAATACATGAGAGTGTTTTTTTCTTTTTTAATTCAGATCCACAATTAAGAGGCAATGTAGCTGAATGGATTAATAAGCTCAAGGCAGGAAGCCAGAAGCTTTACACATGAAATTCACCTCTGCCAACCCTGAGAAAGTTCTGTAACTTCTGTGACAAAACAAAATAGCAAATCATTAAATAATTCCAAGCCAGAATGAGAGAGTCAAACCAAAATTAAACAATTATAAACAGTTATAGAAACTGACGCAAGAAAATACTGGTAGATATGGCATCAAAAATAAATCCTCATGACAACTGTAACGCTTTACTGACAAAATCTGATTTGTGTTTTTAAGAACAGCACAGAAACTAGGACTCAGCCTAAATGGGCAAAATTTCCTGGGAGCCTTTCAGGGTTGGCATTGTAAGTGATGAGGTCAAAGACCAAGGTAAGTACAGATATGCCTCGCCCTTCTCCACACTCGCTTTGGCATGTGGTGCTTTCAGTCTGGCTTCCTAGTTTTCTCCTCTAATAGAAAGCAGCCACTCAGCAAGGAAGAGCGAAGACACAGAGCTTAGTAGTCACTGAATAACTAGAGGAAAGTCATTACTAACATGGAGTCAAAAGCACATATGAACCCTTTCAGTTAACTGAAAACCACTTGGAATCATGAAAGAGAACTGGGAGCTCACAGTTTGCCAATTCCTACTTTGGGCCAATGCACATCAAACACTAGGCATTATACCAGTGCAAACACATTTAATCCTCAAATAACACCATGAGGTATCCCCATTTTAAAGTTAAGGACCCAAACAACAGGAAAGGTGAGTCACTGGACTCACAGGTTGTATTTTAATTCTTACGATAATCTTTAAAATCCTGTATATACATATTCTGGATCATCTAGAATACAGGTCCTAGAGAAAACCTTATAATCAAGTACTGCCATGCAATTTCGGGGGCCTCATTTCGTGTTTATGTTTATGATCGAGTGAACTCCAAGTGAAGATCAAATGACACTGAAGCTTACTGTTAGAAGGAAGTTTCCATGGCAGTGGTTGGGAACTGAGTCATCACAGGTTACCCAACCACACATCAAACCCAAGAAAAGCTTTCTCTGAACAGTCAGTGGCCCGCTCATGCTGCTGGTAAGATGGGCCCCATCACTGAACATACCAATTTGCAATAGTTCACTAGCAATTAAATACAACTCGTGATAATAAAGACTATGTTCCAAATCCAGCAATAAGTGGATCAGGACTGATTTAAGGATTTCAGAATGCTACCATATTAGTTTCCTGTTGTTTCCATACTTCAAGCTTAGTGACTTAAAATAACAAAAATGAATTTTCTCACAGTTTTATAGGTTAGAAATCTGACACGTCTCACTGGGCTAAAATTAAGGTGTCAGGAGGGCTGCACTGCCTTCTGAAGGCTCTAGGGGGAAATCCGTTTATTTGTATTTCCCAACTTCTAGAGACCCACTGCATGCCTTGTCTCATGGCCCCCTTCCTCCATGTTCAAAGCCAAAAATGGCCAGTGAGTCCTTCTCACAACTTATGCCTCTGGCCTAAAATCTCTATGACTCTTCTGACTCCCTCTTCTACTTTCAAGGACCATTGTGATTCCATTGGGCCCACCTAGATAACCCAGGAAAAACTCCCTTATATCTGTGGACAAAAACAGGGTTCTATAGAAAATAACCTCGTAGGGTGATCTGATCATAAATTCCTAACTAGGCGGGTCATGGTGGGTTGTCACACCCCAGGCATATAACTTCTTTAGTAAAAGACTTATCTTTGCCTTAAGCAAGCCCTATTCATTGTTTCTGTACATCTAGGTCAACACACCTCTGAAACAGCCCCTTTCAGGCACCTCCTTCTAAAGCATGACCACCCTCAGGAGAGCACAGAATCTTTACTTGTAATCCAATTCCTACCTTGCTTTCTCCCACCTTCATGTAATTGTCCTTACTTAACTTAATCTTCTTAACCCTCCTTAATCTCAAATGCACAGAAGAAACTTCAAACTTATTCTCAGAAGCATTTCACTCAGTCTTTTGAGATNGAAACTTCAAACTTATTCTCAGAAGCATTTCACTCACTCTTTTGAGATCTTGCTTCTAGGAGTATCCTCTTACTCAAATTTTTATAAAAATTCTCTACAGGTTTGGACATCCTATGTTGACAAATCTATTCTCCTTTGTCCTGTAATGTAGCATACTCACAGGCTGTGGGGATTAGGACATCTTGGGGGCCACAATCCACCTACCGCAGATACTATGCGAGCCTTGGTATGATGTGTAAAATGTGTACCTACAGGTTATCAAGTTGTTCCCCATAAACACTAACATCAAAGACTGCTCAGTAACAAACTTTAGGCTAAATATAATTTCCGATTATAATGAACTAGCATACAAAGCCTCAAAGATATTTACAACATATGTTTTAGAGTACACTTATATAAATAGGCTTTCTCTGCAATGATATTATATGAAGTGAAATAAAAATATAGTACTGGGCCTCCTTCTACTAGTTCTACTATTTAACTAACAGTGATTTGGTTTTGCAAAACACCATTATTTGTCACATTACACTGGAGATACTACTTTGAATTTCACTGACTTCATTGTTTTAGTTATATCTAAATTGTAAATTTATTTTGGTTTCATAATTGTGTCTAATCTATAAACATATGGAGTTTGTATTTAGTTCTTTGTTTCTTTTTTTTAAGCTCTTTTTTTAATTGCTATTTAGAGGTAGGGAGAG